GCCCAGGTCATCTTGGACTCAAGATCATCTAGCTAGGCTCCAGTCAATCCAAGAGGATACCTTATTTTTCTTGAGTTTCTTCTCCTTCAAGAGTAGATGGAGAAGAAAGTTTTTTGGATCAAACTTCCACTGCTCCTTAACAATGTGTCACAGACAAATTGATTTGTAGTTAAGTGAGGTGTTCCATTTTAGAGATTTATTAGACATGTCCCTTTGATGAAGATGATTTTGGAAATGTTTTAAAACCTTTGAGGAGGAACATTTCACTCAAAGTAGAGTCATCTGAGCAGCTCCTGTACAATATGGCTGCCAAAAGACTCCAGTAGGGAAGCCTGGCTTTGCTTTGGTTACAGCCAGAGTTTAGACCTGAGGCTAAGGTTATCACTGTATCACTTTTAGCAGAAATTCATTCTAATGCGGTGCTGTTCAGGTTTCTTCAATTCCAGCGAAAGCAATCTGCCAGGTCCAGGACTCAAACTGCAATTGGCCATGTGAGAGTCCAGCACCTTAACCACTGTGCCACCTGCTGGTCCCAGGGGGAAGCCTTTTTTACTGTGGATTCATGGGACTTATCCAGCCCAGGTCATCTTGGACTCAAGATCATCTAGCTAGGCTCCAGTCAATCCAAGAGGATACCTTATTTTTCTTGAGTTTCTTCTCCTTCAAGAGTAGATGGAGAAGAAAGTTTTTTGGATCAAACTTCCACTGCTCCTTAACAATGTGTCACAGACAAATTGATTTGTAGTTAAGTGAGGTGTTCCATTTTAGAGATTTATTAGACATGTCCCTTTGATGAAGATGATTTTGGAAATGTTTTAAAACCTTTGAGGAGGAACATTTCACTCAAAGTAGAGTCATCTGAGCAGCTCCTGTACAATATGGCTGCCAAAAGACTCCAGTAGGGAAGCCTGGCTTTGCTTTGGTTACAGCCAGAGTTTAGACCTGAGGCTAAGGTTATCACTGTATCACTTTTAGCAGAAATTCATTCTAATGCGGTGCTGTTCAGGTTTCTTCAATTCCAGCAGAGTTCTGGAGAAGGCTGCCTTGTCAGCAGGA